CAGCGCCGAGCGTACCACTCTCGGAGCCGCTGGGGAGAGGGCAGCTCCCGCCTAGGAGGGGAAGCACGAGCACCCTTTCCAGCAGCACCCCTAGCTCCAGAAGCATATCTCCTGAGGCTGCAGTACTGTAAGTACCACTCACGCAGCTGCTGTGAGGAGAGAGCGCCTCCAGGTGTAGCACGCTCAGTCGCAGCACCCTCTGGCTTAGTACCCTCAGACGTAGCACTCCCAGGCTCAGCACCCCCAGACTCAGCACCCGCAGGCTCCGCACCCCCAGGCTCAGCACCCCCAGACTCCGCAACCCCAGGCTCCGCACCCTCAGGCTCCGCACCCCCAGGCTCCGCACGCTCAGGCTCAGCACCCCTAGCAGGACGAGAGTCGACAGCTACCTCGACAGGCTCAACCGGGTCTACCTGGGACACACCTGAGGGAGCGGCACCCTGAGGGGGGAGGGGGTCTACCACAGCAGCACCTGGCGCGAGGAAGAGAGGCGGGGGAGGGAGCGGGGCAGTGCGGTAGGGGAAAAGGCGGTAGTAGGGCACCGACTCGTCAAAAGTGACGTCCTGAGAGGGCAGGACACGGCGCGAGGTGGCGTGGTAAAACTGCCAACCAGACGCGTCCGGGACAAAGCCAAGGAAGACACAAGGAACAGCGCGGGAGGAGAGCTTGTCCGCGGACGTATCGCGAACAAAAGCTCGAGATCCCCCGAAAACGCGACGCATCGCCAACCTCTCCCGTCCAACGCAGTGTCGGCGAAGTCTCTGGAACGGAGACACGGGGCCAGAGGTTGAGCTGATGCGCAGCGTATCGGACCGCAAACGGCCACAGAAAGTGGGGGGCAGCCGCATGGATCAAGGAGGTACGAGCGACCTCCATGACCAAGCCAATGCGGCGCTCAGCAACCCCATTCTGCTGTGGAGAGGCCGGAAGCGTGAACGACTGGCGGATGCCGTGCTCCGCACAGTAGGCTGCCAAGAGGTCGGAGGAGAACTCACCACCTCTGTCAGAGTGCAGACGCAGGACAGGAAAGTCCGAGTGGAACCGCTCGCTGAGCTGGAGACGAGAAGCGCGGATCCAAGGGATCAAAACATCAGGGACCTCACCCTTGGTGCGCAAGGGGAAGACCGTGGTGTAGCGCGAGTAGTCGTCAACCACTATCAGGAAGTACCTCTCCTGACCCTGTCCACGGACGCGGGCTGGGCCCCACACGTCCATGTGGAGTGTCTGCAAGGGAGCAGTCGTCGGGGGAAACGAGGAGGAGTGAGGAGCGGCGCGCTGCCACCCCTCGACACAAGGAAGACAGGGAGGAGCAGGCGAGGGTGGGAGGGGAGGGAGAACCCTGGGAAGACCAGAGACAAGGTACCGTTTGTGCATGCCACGAAGGCGCTGCACTGACGGGTGACCAAGGCGGTGGTGCCAGAGGACGGTCTCGTGCGCTAGAGAGCGACACGAGCAGGGGGGCGACAGCTGACCTGACGCAGACGCAGACGCAGCTACCTGAGGGGACTCAGTGGTCAGTGTGTACAGGTCCGACCCCGGCTGCCGAGTGAAGGTAGCCAGGTGACGGCCCGTCCGAGCACACGTGCAGTGTGTCACGCGCTCGTAGGCAGGGGTGAACTGGTGGACACCCCCGTCCTGGAGCGCACAACCCGCCACCAAGTTCGTAGAGAACGAGGGGAGGTGGAGACCTGACAGTGTGCCCGACGGAACCGCAGGACAAGGAAGGACAGTGGAGGAGGTCGCAATGACCGGACCCCCAGAGGGGTCAGCGAGGGAGACAGCAACAGGCCGAGCAAGCTGCTCAAGGGCAGTGCGGTCACGAAAGAAACAGCGAGAAGCACCTGAGTCCAGTGTGAAGGTGTGCAGTGCCTCAGTAGACTCAGTACCAGGGGGCGCAGACTCACGAGCACCTAGAGCAGCAGCCTCACCAGCACCTGGGGCAGCAGACACGCGAGTACCTGGAGCGGCAGCCTCACCAGCACCTGGGGCAACAGACGCACTAGCACCTAGAGCGGCAGCCTCACTGGTCCGAATGCCCGGGTCGGGCGGAACACGCAGGTACTGAGCACCCTCTCCACTAGTAGACAACACATACATGGCAGTGAGAATAGCATCAAAGTCAAGAGCATAGATATCAATGTTCTTCCTCATCAGATCAGCCCAGCGGGGCAGCTCAGTGGCAGCAGGGAACTGAGTGCGCCAAGCGTCGTCGAGGCGGGGGAAGCAGCGCTGCGCGGTGTGCGCCCTCCCACATGTCTGGCCAGTGCGGTCACCAGTGCGGATGACGTACGTGCAGCTAAGGCCACCCCCCCCCCCCGTGCTGAGAGTACCACTCACGAAGCTCCTGGGACGACGGAGTCTGCTGTTGGCTCTGGCCACCGCCAGCGCCTCCACGACCACCACCTCCGCCGCCACCACCTCGACCACCACCGCCCCTGCCGCCGCCGCGTCGACCGCCGCCCCCACCACCGCCCCCACCCCGGCCACCTCCTCCGCCGCTGCCGCAACCACCCCCACCGCCTCCACTAGTCCCTCCAGCCCCGCCACCACCCCCACTGCCGCCACCGCCCCCACCACCGCCTCCCCCGCCGTCACCTCCGCCTCCCTTGCCCCCTTTGCCCTTGCCGCTGCGGCGCCAACTCGGAGTGGACGCAGTCCCGACCTGCTCAGTACCAACTAGGTCGACAGCAGCAGTAGAGGCGACAGAGGGGAGAAGGGGGGAAGGGGAACACCCCTCGAAGAAAGGGGTGCGGGGGTCGCCACGAGAGGCACCTACAGCGACTATGCTAGTCTCAGCTGCAAGCAGTTCCTTCTCGAGCAGATCAACGGTGAGCTCAGTGGGGCAGCGAGCGAGGAAGTGGTCCCTGACCGCACGAAGAGAGTCAGGGAGACGGGTGACCAGGTGGTAGAGAGTGAGCCAGAGCGGGGGGGGGGTTCTTGGCAAGAAACTCAGCGAGCATAGCGGCACGGAAGCGGGCCTCACTAGTGCGGAGGTGCGTGATGAGGTCAGCGACTGTGGAGAAAGCGGACAGGTCTGGGAACAGGTAGGGGAGCGAGAGACGGCCTAGCGCAGCAGAGGCAGGTGAGGAGTAGCGTGCAACGACAGCAGTGTACAGTGCCTGCCCAGTTTTGTGCTGGCCAAAGTGCTCGCGCTCATCTACCGGCAGGGAGTTGCGAATAGCGAAGCGAGCGTGGGCGTCACGAGTCTGCCACTGTGAGCGGGCAGTACTGTCAGCAGTAGCAGCAGGGGCAGCAGCGAGTCCTAGTGCGTGATCGTACAGCGAGATATCCTCCTTGGCAGTGAGCTGGAGGAACAGGTGCAAGTCATCTAGCCAGGTGTCAAACTTCAGCGGGCGGCCCTCAGCATCGAAAGCTAGCACAGCAGGGCTAGCCATAGTTGCAGTAAGAGCAGTAGCAGTAGTAGCAGCAGTAACAGCAGTAGCGTCAGTAGCAGTGACAGCAGCAGTGGCGCGGCTCGGTAGGGCGGCGCGGCTCGGTAGGGCGGCGCGGCTCGGGCCGGGCGACGCGGTTCGGTGGGGCGGCTCGGCTCGACTAGGCGGCGGCTACTCGAGGTGGGGCACGCGAGGGCGTGCAGGGCAGAGCGTGGCCGGTCCGCACGGGGCACGAAATGGCGGGCTAGCGAGGGCGGGGCCTGGTCGCACGGGGCACGCAAGGGCGGGCTAGTGGGGCGGGGCCTGTTCGCACGAGGCACGCAAGGGCGGGCTAGCTGGGCGGGGCCGGTACGCGAGGGGCACGCAAGGGCGCGCGGGTGGGTGTGGGCCGGTCGCACGGGGCACGCAAGGGCGCGCGAGAAGGGGCGGGGCCGGTCCGTAAGAGGCGCGCAAGGGCGCGCGGGGCAGCGAGCGCGCGGGGCCGCACGGGGCACGCAAGGGCGCGCGGGGCAGGCGACGCGCGTGGTGCTGCGCGGGTCGCACGCTAGGGCGTACGAGGTGGGCGGGGCCGATCGCACGGGGCACGCTAGGGCGTGCGGGCTAGGCGGGGCCGATCGCGAGAGGCACGCTAGGGCGCGCGATAGTGAGGGAGAGAGGAGGGCGCTCGAGGGCGCGACTAGGCGAGGCGCGCTAGGGCGCGACTATGCGAAAAACGGTGGGCCCTATCGTTCGGTCCTAGGTTACGACCTAGGCTCGTAATACCATGTTAGAAACTAAGAGAGAATGAGAATGATTGACTAGCAGGAGGATGGGAGTACAAGTACCACAAACCTAGAGTAGTGTACCCCCTAGAAGGCTAACCCACTATAGCCTACACAAATAGAACAAGTATAATGTTTGACACGGGACCCCTTCAGATTCGCGGCCCGGCCTCCTCTGCGGGGAAAGTGTGGCAACAGTCAAGATTCCCCGTAGAGGAGCTGAGCTGGGCAGCTCTTTGCCTCAGTGGCAGGGAATCTTGCTGTTGATGGGCACGTCGTGGCTGAACCACGACGTGCCCACGATCGCATGCAACCCTGATTGGGCCGCTGTGATGCGAAGTACGTGTGCGCTGGCATGGGCCAGGTTCACGTTCGATGAACCTGGCCTGGCCAACAAGGCGTGGAAGGCGTGATGCCACGCCTTGTTGGCCGTTTCACGCGCAAACCATGCACACATTCGAACGTTCTCGACTCAGGTGAATCCGCCTTTGAAAATGCTTCGATTTGGTATATTTAAAAACAAAATTCGTTTTTTACATAACATAAACGCCGGCGCTTATAATTTTACTATATTATAAGCCCACCCCCTAAAAAAAACATGTTTTATTAGTGCCCCCCATGGGGGTATATCCGGGGTATGACGGTACTCTTAAGAGCGTGATGTGAGAAGGCAATGCGAGCTGTACAAGAGTTCGGTCTGTACGCAATGCATTACGCTTAAAAAAAAAAAACTTGATAATTCCTCTAATTATGGCGCATTTAATAAACTTTATAATCTCATTGTTTGTGGTATGAGCAATGTAAAGGCTGTTTCTTTTTATTGTACAAATGTATGCTAGTTTCACCAATGATGGCGTTTGGAGGCTTTTGTTGGTACGACAATTGGGGCTCCGCGTTTTCCCAACCCTTTGCGATCTTGGCATAGACCAACCCCACCGCGTACCCCAGTAACCTCCTCAATCTCAACTCCCCGTTTCGCCTTTCCCCTCCCCTCGTTCCACCTCCGCCTCTTCCTGCTAGATCCTCTCCTTGCTGTTGCCTCTCCCTCCCAGCAATAACTCGCCCTCTGTCGCTTGTTAGTGCTCCTTTTTGGCACCTCACTGATCTCCTGTGCTCAATCCGTGGTGAGCGCTCTCACGTTGTTCGACCTCTAGAGTTTATCCGTCGCTGTAACTGTGCCTTAATATCGGTCCTTTCGTCCGTTTTAAAGAGTTTGCACGAAACTTTGCCAGAGTTACACAATTACCCTTCCAGCCCATCCACCCTTATCCCCGCGGTTCTCAGTCCCGCATTCGCGCCGTCCCACTATTTGAGTACCAATTTGTGCAATTAGACGCGCACCATGGAAAACCGTTGTGTCTGAACTTATGACGCGGTGTAGTGTGCCCAAGTCCGACGAAGGGGTTTCGTGTGTGCCAGTCTAGGGTAGCGCTGTCGATCGACCCACGCCGTAGGCGCACGTCTGTTTCAATATTTTCTGTGCTCTCGTCTGTGCTTGCAACCGTGCTTGCGTGTCTGCTTACTTGTGTGCAGCTGCTTCGTGTCATCGTCATTCGCAGCAGTCGTCATGGCTCCCGCAAAGAAGACTGTAAGTCGACGAGTAGAGTAGCCCGCACGCGGCACCGGTGTCGCACATGCGTTGCTCCACTCGCGCCACACCAGTGCTGCGCTCATGTCGCCCTCTCTCCCATGTTCTCCGCCACTTGCTTGCCCACTCGCCGCTGCCGCTCATAGACGCGCCGTTGCCCCCCGGCCCCCACTCCCCCCCCTCCCTCCCTCCCCCTCCCCCCCCCCCCTCCCTTCCCTGATGGCTGGCGCGCGGGGAGCAGAAGAAGGCGCAGGAGAACATTAACAGCCGGCTGACGCTGGTGATGAAGAGCGGCAAGTACACGCTGGGCTACAAGACCGTGCTCAAGAGCCTGCGCTCCGGCAAGTGTGAGTGCTGCCAGCCCTGCCTCCCTTCGCTCTTCTTTCGACTGTCTCGTCTGCCATCAGCGCGGGGCGACTGCTAGGTTCTGTTCGGGGTTAGGCTCTCAAGCCGTGTGCCATCGCGGACGCACACTCACAGTTAGCGGTTAGTGGTCGATCGTGGTTATGCCACGTGGATTCGCAAGATTGGGGGAAGGAGCCGTTTGGTGGGCTGGTCGTGGGCGTGCGTGCACCACCGTGTAGCCGACCTGCGTGCAGGGGTAGTCAGCGACTCGTGAGACGGGCAGGCGGGCCACGTGGGTTGGAGCGGCGCTGTCGCGTGGAGCGGACGGTAGCGCGCCGAGTGGGCGGCTGCTGACGGCAGTGGATGGCAGCCGCGAGTTGCTGGGGAGAGTGGGTCGAGGAGCGGTGGGGCGGGGGAGATTACAACAGGGGGGTGCGGCTAGCGTTCAGGAAGCTTCTTACTGCGAGATCAGCATGAAGAAAGGCAGAGGGGAGCAGTCTTTTCAGGGTTGAGAAGCAGCTTTAAGAGGGGAAAACGGTTTGAACGGAGAGAATCTTTTTAGGGGGGAGCAGCGGTTTGAAGGGAGAAGCGATTTTAGAGGGGAGCAGCGGTTTGAAGGAAAGAGGCGGTTTTTTGGGGAGGTGCGGTTTTAGGGGGGCGCGGTGTTCCTCGTGGAATGCAGCGGGCGTCCAGTGCGGGCGGGGCGGTGAGGTGGGCTTGGCGTTGTGAAGTCTGTCGTTAGCTTCCGATAGCGCGCACCTTCCTGTCAGAGCGCATGGGTCAGGCTTGTCACTGAATTGAGCCTGTTCTAGTTAGTTCGCTGCGCTCCGCCGCATACTCACTGCGCATTTGCGAGGGTTGACTCGGATGCAAAGGAATAGATGAGCGACACGGGTGCCACGAGCAGCTGCGGCTAAGCGCCATGACCCGCAATCACCTCCCCTCCCCGCTCTCTGCCTCCCCTCTCGGCCGTAGTACGTCTCTTAATCGCGCTGCTGTTATGTGTGCCCGCGTGCGTGGTGTGGTGTGGTGTGGTGTGGTGTGGTGTGGTGTGGTGTGCGTGCGAGCAGCGAAGCTGGTGATTATCGGCAACAACTGCCCGCCGCTGCGCAAGTCGGAGATCGAGTACTACGCCATGCTCTCCAAGACGGGCGTGCACCACTACTCGGGCAGTAAGTGCACCACCACTCGGGCAGTAAGTGCACCACCACTCGGGCAGTAAGTGCACCACCACTCGGGCAGTAAGTGCACCACCACTCGGGCAGTAAGTGCACCACTACTCGGGCAGTAAGTGCACCACTACTCGGGCAGTAAGTGCACCACTACTCGGGCAGTAAGTGCACCACTACTCGGGCAGTAAGTGCACCACTACTCGGGCAGTAAGTGCACCACTACTCGGGCAGTAAGTGCACCACTACTCGGGCAGTAAGTGCACCACTACTCGGGCAGTAAGTGCACCACTACTCGGGCAGTAAGTGCACCACTACTCGGGCAGTAAGTGCACCACTACTCGGGCAGTAAGTGCACCACTACTCGGGCAGTAAGTGCACCACTACTCGGGCAGTAAGTGCACCACTACTCGGGCAGTAAGTGCACCTCTACTCGGGCAGTAAGTGCAGCACAATTCGGCAATAATGAATAGCAAGTCATGGGTAGCAGAGCCTTTTGGGCTCGCTCACCACTGCCGTATTGCTTTTCATGAGCTCGCTCGCTTCTCACTTGCACCCCTCTCTCATCACGTTCCCACCGATTCTGCAGACAACGTGGATCTCGGCACGGCGTGTGGCAAGTTCTTCCGGGTCTCGGCTCTCAGCATCACAGACGCTGGTACGTTGTGCTCTCAGCATCACAAACGCTGGGTCGTTCTGTTTTTGGGTCCCTTGTGCTCCTGCCGTCCGCCTGTTTGCTGTGCCCTCCAGAGCTGACGTGGTGTGCTGCTCCCCTGTGTGGCAGGTGACTCTGACATCATCCGCTCCATGCCCGAGTCCTCATAAACCCCTGCAGCACCCTGTGCACCAGCTGCAAGTATTCAGGTCTAAGGCTAGGCCAATGTGCTGCTAGGGCTAGGTGGGCCATGAATGTACCAAGGCAAGCGCAGCTCGCATGTAGTTTATTGCATGGTTTATAGCAGGGCCAGTCTATTCGCTTGCTGTCTGGTTAATGTTCACCCCACTCAGTGCTGCACCTGCTGCTGACGTCAGAATGTAATATATCCATGGCAGCGTTAAAGCCCGAGTCCCAAATTGCAAGCCGCGCGGGTCAAGTTTTTAAAACTTGATGTTGCGTAGCTTGCAAACTTGAAAAAAGTGCAGCTGCAATTTGGGACTTTCGAGCTCCCACCAGGGGAAAGGCGAGGTTTGACTGTGTGCTGCGAAAAAAACGAATTTCATGAAATTGATCCTCTCGCCACAGCCCAAAAACTGAACTACCTCCTCAAATCAGTCCCCTGAGAAGCTCTACGTGGGTGAACACCACAGCATACAGTGTGCTGCATCACGGTTACGGTAATGGGCCACGCTGTTGTATGGGGTGGCTTCTGGATCTCAGATTCGATTCCTTTTACAGGTTCATGTCCGAAAATGGATCCTTTATTGTCTTCCGCACGCATAGCGAATCCGCCTGACAAGTTCGAAATCGATCGCCACTCATACCGATCCCTGAGGTTGCAGAAGATTGTAGACTCGATCGATCTTTCGGTTTTTTCACGCGCCCTATCCCTCGCCTCAATTTCGCCTTTGTCACCAGTAGCAGGCAGATCTGACTCTCACACCACCCAGCTTCATTCATCCTAACACGTGATCGGTCCATTCACTCATTACCCCCTGCTGCTTCTCGCAGCCTCGTCGCGCCATGGCATCGCGGTGGTGTCTTGTGGCCGCCTTGGCGCTGCTCGCGTGTCTCCCGCTCGCCCTCGCCGACTCGCGAGTGGACGAGCTGCGGGAGCTGCGGCGGCGCGCCAAGGACGGCGTGATCCGCATCACGGACGAGAGCTTCGCGGCGTACATCAAGGCGGCGGAGCCCCGCCCGTACGGCGTGCTGCTCTTCTTCGACGCCGCCAAGCTGCACGACAACGGCGACCTCAAGCTGCCCGCGCTGCGCCGCGAGTTCGCGCTGCTCGCCAAGGCGTACGCCGGCAAGTTCCTCGCGGATGGCGCGGCGCCGCGCGACGAGGTGTTCTTCTGCGACGTAGAGTACGGCCAGTCGGAGAAGGTCTTCCACGCGCTCGCCATCAACGGGCTGCCCGCCACGCGCTTCTTCCCCGCGGGCACCAAGTCCACGCGCGGGCAGGACATGGACTTCCAGTCCGCGCCCGCCACGGCCGACGGCTTCGCCAAGTTCCTGCAGGCGGCGGGGGGCGTGGACGTGGGGCCCATCGAGCGCCCGCCCAAAGTGTCGTCCACGCAGGTTGTCGTGGTCGCCGTGCTCGCTGTCGTCGCCGCGCCCTTCGTGCTGCGCGCGCTGGTGACGACGCGCACGCCGCTGCACGAGGCGGCGACGTGGTGCGTGGTGGGCGTGTGCGTGTACTTCTTCTCGGTGTCGGGCGGCATGTTCAACATCATCCGCGGCATGCCCCTCTTCGTGCCCGACCACAAGCACCCCGGCCGCTTCACCTACTTCTACGGCGGCGGCGGCGCGCAGTTCGGCGCGGAGGGCTTCACCATCGGCGCGCTCTACACCACCGTGGGGCTGCTCGTCGCCCTCGCCACGCACGTGGCGCCGCGCATGCGCAGCGCGTGGGCGCAGCGCGTGTTGCTGTTTGTGGCGATGGGCGTGGCGGCGGCGTCGGTGCGGCAGGTGGTGCAGCTGGACCACGCGAAGCAGGGCTACTGGGTGCACGGCTTCTGGCCCAAGTGGCTCTAGCCAACCCCCCTCCACTCACGCTACCGGTGAGGGCTGTGGGGGTGAGGGCTGTAGTGGTGAGGGCTGTAGTGGTGAGGGCTGTAGTGGTGAGGGCTGTAGTGGTGAGGGCTGTAGTGGTGAGGGCTGTGAAAGGGTGGTTGGAAGGTGGGCCATGGCATGGCATGCAGTCGGTGGTGGGTGCGGGAGAGAAGGAACCTCGAGGAGCCTAGCCAGTTGTGTGCGAGGCGGTGGGGCAAGGCATGCATGGCATGCATGTTTGGGGCAAGGCATGCATGTTTTGGGGCAATGCATGCATGTTTTGGGGCAATGCATGCATGTTTTGGGGCAATGCATGCATGTTTTGGGGCAATGCATGCATGTTTTGGGGCAATGCATGCATGTTTTGGGGCAATGCATGCATGTTTTGGGGCAATGCATGCATGTTTTGGGGCAATGCATGCATGTTTTGGGGCAATGCATGCATGTTTTGGGCAAGGCAGTGAAGTCTGGTGTGTGGGATGGCATGCTTTGGCATGGGCTGCTGCTGCCGCTCGGTTCGCTGAGAGCCTGCTTGTGGTGGTCAGAGCAGCCGAGAGGGGTTGAGGGATTTATGTCCCCAATGTGGGTGCTTGGTGGCTCCATGTCACCCCCCTACCGTCCGCCCTTTCTCCACATGTGACTTGGTCGCTGATGTGGGTGGACTTCTCATCACACCATACCCTTGTACTAAATTATGCACTTTTACTTCCCGTGTTGGCTGTGCCCCTGTGTCTCCCCAGGGCGTACATTGCCACACAGCATGGGGGTTACAAAGCAGCGGGTACAACTGGTTATGCTTGAATGCTAAGCTGTGCCACGCAAGCATCTGTTCACCTTTATGTTACCGTAATAACCCAGATATATGCCCGCACACCCCCCGCCCTCTCCACCCCCCCCCCCCCCCCCCCCCCCCCCCCCCCCTCCCCTCTCCCCTCCTCTCCCTCCCATCCAGTCCTCTTGTCAAGATCCTGTTGGGTTTCTTCAGGACAGTCGTAGAAATATATTACCGTACCATTACAATTTACGAGGCGTTTATTTGGGTGATGACAGTCACGGTAACTACCCACCCAGTTGTTGGAAACATGTAGTTTACGCTTCTGATGTGTCAAAACACTGAAGTCGTAGGCGAGGCGAACTACAGCGAAGCAACAGCGAGTCAACCGAAGAGGTTGACAAAATGTAACAGCAGGAGGTTAAGCGAAGGTCAAAGGTCAGCAAACCTTTGACTCACCAAAAGGCAGCGCGACAGCAAGGACACACAACTGACTCGTTACTGAGCAGTTGCCCGAGTCGCAGCTGTATCGAATCGCAACAGCAAACACTTTTCTCCTTCGCAACTCTCTCGACATTCCTCTTGAACCCTAAACCTAAACTACTAAGCTACTAAAGCTATGGCTCCTAAGCCTAACTACACTTCTTGTTTCTGACATGGTTTCAGAGCACTTATGCTCCTGGCCTGTGGGCCCCCACTTGCTTCCGCTGCCTGTCGTCCTGTCGCGCGCCTCGGGCGCGCGGCGTATTTTCCTCGCTGTGCACCCCGGGCGCGCGGCGATTTTCTGCCCGCCGTGTGCTCGGGGGGCACGGCGGTTTTCTGCCCGCCGTGCGCCCCGGGCGCGCGGCGGCTCTCTGCCCCACGTCCTGCCCGTTGCGCTGCCCTGCAGGCCGCGCGCGGGCCTGTTCTGCCCGTCGCGCTGCCCAATGGGCCGCGCGCGGGCCTGCCCTGCACCCGCGACGCCGCCCCTGGACCCCGCGCCGCCGCCCCTGTACCCCGCGAAGCCGCCCCATGGAGCCCGCCCGCGCCCTGCCTCACCTGCGCCTGCCCTCGTGCAGCCGCCCCTGCATCACCTGCGCCTGCCCTCGTGCAGCCGCCCCTGCATCACCCGCGCCTGCCCTCGTGCAGCCGCCCCTGCCTCACCTGCGCCCGCCCCTGCAGCAGCCGCTCCTGGCCCCTGGAGCAGCCGCCCCTGCAGCAGCCGCCCCTGGCCCCTGGAGCAGCCGCCACTGCAGCAGCCGCCCCTGGCCCCTGGAGCAGCCGCCCCTGCAGCAGCCGCCCCTGGCCCCTGGAGCAGCCGCCCCTGCAGCAGCAGCCCCTGGCCCCTGGAGCAGCCGCCACTGCAGCAGCCGCCCCTGGCCCCTGGAGCAGCCGCCCCTGCAGCAGCCGCCCCTGGCCCCTGGAGCAGCCGCCCCTGCAGCAGCCACCCCTGCCTCCCCTGCGCCTGCCCTCGTGCAGCCGCCCCTGCCTCACCCGCGCCTGCCCTCGTGCCGCCGTGGGGGGGAGGGTATGGGGGTGGCGGGTGTGGGGGTGATGAGTGTGGGTGCTACCCTTCCCCTCCTCCTCCTCCCTCTTCGTCTCCCACTGCTGCGGCTGCAGCTGAAGGGGGGTGGATGTGTGGGAGCCGAGGGGAGTGGAGCTAAGGGGGTGTCGTGGGAGTGGAGACAGGGGTGCAGCAAAGGGGTGTGTGAGAAGGGGGTGTGGGACTGTTAGGGGAGGTAGAGCGGAGGTCGCCGTCGTGTCGTCAGCAGCGCCAGTAGTCCGGAGCCCTCGTGCTCTCGGTAGCCCAGCGAGCCTGCTTCGCCAGTCGCCTGTGGGTCCGTTGCTCCTGCCGCTCGTCGTAGCCGCGGAGCCAGATACTCCCGTAGTCCGGTGCCCTCGTGCGCTTGGTAGCCACTGTGCGCGCCGCTCCTGTTGCCCGTGTGACTGCGGCTTCACCTGTCGCCTCCTATCTCCACCCCTGTCACAGTCCCTCCTCCTCACTTCCCCTCTCCTTCTGCTGCGCTTGGTGTACCCCTTCAGGGGGCGTCTCTGCATTGGCTTCCTGCTGCAAGCAGTTTAGGGGGTGTGTTGAAATATATTTCTTATATAAACTGCTTGTAGCGGTAGTTAGTGTAGTGTTACATTGTTTGGTCGTGCACCTTGCTTGCTTTGCCTATATCCTTGTACCTTCTCTCTTTATTGAACACTTTTCTCCTTTGCAACTCTCTCGACATTCCTCTTGAACCCTAAACCTAAACTACTAAGCTACTAAAGCTATGGCTCCTAAGCCTAACTACACTTCTTGTTTCTGACAAAAACGGGATCTCTCCGTGTCGAGATTCGAACTCTTCACCCTCACGACAGATCGAAACGTCGAAACCACTGCGCCAAACAAACTGTTGGTATCAAGTGTCGTGTTTAACAATGTCAGTTGCTGAGCTATAATCGTCCATCCCTAGGGTTTCGTCAAATTTCTCTCTCTCGTTTCTCTTCCAACCACTTACTCCATCTACTCCCGCCACTCACGCTAGTCCAGCTCCTTAGGTAAGCTCTAGTATCTCTGTTCTCTCTAATATCTCCGTCCCTTCTATCTCCATCTCTTTCTCGATTCTCCCTCCCTTATCCGTCTCTATTATTCGATTTCCGATTTTTATCCTCTCATAAACGTCGTTCTGCTGGTGCAAGTCGCGCTGGCGTCTTTTTCTAGGGTGCCAGTGTCAGAACATTGTAGCTTATGCTGTTGTGTAGGCTATAGTGGGGTATCCCATAGGGGGTACAACCAATTAGGGTTTCATATTTGTACTCACTTCATTTCATAGTTCATCCATCCTCGTTCTCATTCTCACATGGAATCAGAGCAGGTCCCCTCCTAGGGACTGTTCCTTGGGCCCACCGAAGCGCGCCTCGAGTCGCGCCTGCCTTTTTTTTTAGCGGCCCGTCGAGTCGCACCTAGCGGCCCGTCGCGCCGCCCTTACGGTCGCGTCGAGCCGCCCTAGCGGCTGCGGCGCGCCGCCCTTTTCCCGGCCCGTCGCCGCCCTTACCCGCGGCTTTGCGCCGCCCTCACCGGCGGCTTCGCGCCGCCCCTACCTGCGGCTTCGCGCCGCCCAGGCCCGTCGCCGCCCTTCCCGCGGCTTCGCGCCGCCTCTACCTGCGGCTTCGAGCCGCCCCGGCCCGTCGCCGCCCTTACCTGCGGCTTCGCGCCGCCTGCGGCCCCGCCGCCTCTCTCGTTGCGGCCCCGCCGCCCGTCTTCGCGGCCCCGCCGCCATCTCTCGCTGCGGCCCCGCCGCCACTCACTGCGGCCCCGCCACCCGTCTCAGCGGCCCCGCCGCCCGTCTTCACGGCCCCGCCGCCTCTCTCGCTGCGGCCCCGCCGCCTCTCACTGCGGCCCCGCCGCCCTACTCAGCGGCCCCGCCGCCCGACTTCGCGGCCCCGCCGCTTCTCTCGCTGCGGCCCCGCCGCCTCTCTCGTTGCGGCCCCGCCGCCCTTCACTGCGGCCCCGCCGCTTCTCTGCAGCGGCCCCGCCGCCCGTCTTCGCGGCCCCGCCGCCTCACTACCCAGCGGCCCCGCCGTCCTTCTGCAGCGGCCCCGCCACTCCTCTACAGCGGCCCCGCCGCCCTACGTCAGCGGCCCAGCCGAGCCGCCCAACAGCAGCGCAGCCGAGCCGCCCAGCAGCAGAGCAGCCGAGCCGCCCCGCCGCCGAGCCGCGCTGCAGCCGAGCCGCCCGGCCGCCCACCAGTCGAGCCGCCGTGCAGCCGACCGCCCAGCCGCCGAGCCGCCCAGCTGCCGAACCGCCCAGCCGCCGAGCCGCCCAGCCGCCGAGCCGCCCAGCGGCCGAGCCGCCCTGCAGCCGAGCCGCCCGAGCAGCCCTGTCCGGTGAGCACAGACCCTCTGTCACTGCGTGCTCTTCCCCTACTCCTTGCACTGCTGGTCTACTGCTGTCATGGCTACCCCTAGTGTCCTCACTTTTGACGCTGAGGGTCGGGCCATTGACTTTGAGGTCTGGGTAGATGACCTACAGCTGTTCTTACAGTGCGATAGGGAGGACGGCCTCTCTCTCTTTGACCTCACCTCTGGCGCTTCCCCTGCCCCTGCTGCTGATGCTGACGCCACTGTTCGCTCCCAGTGGGCCACGCGCGATGCTGCTGCACGTCTTGCTGTGCGTCGCCACCTCCCTACCTCCGAGCGTGCGCACTTTAGTCAGTACAAGAGTGCTCAGACCTTGTACGCCGCTGTAGTCGCGCGCTACTCCTCCCCTTCCACTGCTGCACTGAGCCGTCTCATGCTGCCGTACCTCTTCCCTGACCTTGCTTCTTTTCCCACCGTTGCTGACCTCATTACGCACCTCCGCACTAGTGACACTCGCTACCGCGCTGCACTTCCTGCTGACTTCTGCACCGCGAACCCCCCCCCCATGTACATCACTCTGTACTTCCTAGT